TCTCTCTCTCTCTATTTCTCTCTCTCTCTCTCTCTCTCTCTCTCTATCTATCTATCTATCTATCTATCTATAGTATAGAAATACAGAGAGAAATACAGTATATAGAGAAATATATTTAACATTTAAACTTATAGTACTCTTTGTCATCAGGAAGGAAGGAAGGGAGGGAGGGAGGGAGGAAGGAAGGAAGGAAGGAAGGAAGGAAGGAAGGAAGGAAAAGAGAAAGAAAGAAAGAAAGAAAGAAAGAAAGAAAGAAAGAAAGAAAGAACACAAGTTAGTCAGGATATCATGAGGTAAATCAAGTATACAGAATACACAAAAGAAAAATGCGGGGAAAAGGGGAAACTCCCCCTTTAAACTTACAGCAACCAATCACAGCATAGATTGCCTTGTGCATGAGTCAGCCTTCTCTAATTAATCAACTACAACTGTATATTCTGGCCTATTGTACCTTTTACTGTTCCAGCTATGTCCCGTATATTGTGTTTCCAGGATTATAATTATTATTATTCATCTCGCATAAGTCTAAAACCTTTCTGGATGCCTTGAATTTTTCCAGAAAAATTCCACAGGAAGATTGTCCTGTATCTTGGAATAGGAATTTTTATGGGAATCTGAGAAAACTGAAGGCCAGTGTAGCAATTAAATACACTGCTCAAAAAATAAAGGGAACACTTAAACAACACAATGTAACTCCAAGTCAATCACACTTCTGTGAGATCAAACTGTCCACTTAGGTAGCAACACTGATTGACAATCAATTTCACATGGCTGTTGTGCAAATGGAATAGACAAGAGGTGGAAAGCATGGGCAGTTAGCAAGACATCCCCAGAGTGGTTCTGCAGGTGGTGATCACAGACCACTTCTCAGTTCCTATGCTTTCTGGCTGATGGTTTGGTCACTTTTGAATGCTGGCAGTGCTTTCACTCTAATGGTAGCATGAGATGGAGTCAACAACCCACACAAGTGGCTCAGGTAGTGCAGCTCATCCAGGATGGCACATCAATGCGAGCTGTGGCAAAAAGGGTTGCTGTGTCTGTCTGCATAGTGTCCAGAGCATAGAGGTGCTACCAGGAGACAGGCCAGTACATCAGGAGACGTGGAGGAGGCCATAGGAGGGCAACAACCCAGCATCAGGACCGCTATCTCTGCCTTTGTGCAATGAGGGACAGGAGGAACACTGCCAGAGCCCTGCAAAATGACCTCCAGCGGGCCACAAATGTGCATGTGGCTGCTCAAACGGTCAGAAACAGACTCCATGAGGGTGGTATGAGGGCCCAATGTCCACAGGTGGGGGCTGTGCTTACAGACCAACACCGCGCAGGTTCACAGACGAAAGCAGGTTCACACTGAACATATATGACAGATGTGACAGGGTCTGGAGATGCCGTGGAGAATGTTCTGCTGCCTGCAACATCCTCCAGCATGACCGGTTTGACAGTGGGTCAGTAATGGTGTGGGGTGGCATTTCTTTAGGGGGCCGCACAGCCCTCCATGTGCTTGCCAGAGGTAGCCTGACTGTCATTAGGTATCAAGATGAGATCCTCAGACCCCTTGTGAGATCAAATGCTGGTGCGGTTGGCCCTGGGTTCCTCCTAATGCAAGACAATGCTAGACCTCATGTGGCTGGAGTGTGTCAGCAGTTCCTGCAAGATGAAGGCATTGATGCTATGGACTGGCCCGCCCCTTCCCCAGACCTGAATCCAATTGAGCACATCTGGGACATCATGTCTTGCTCCATCCACCAATGCCACGTTGCACCACAGACTGTCCAGGAGTTGGGGGATGCTTTAGTCCAGGTGTGGGAGGAGATCCCTCAGACTATCTTCCACCTCATCAGGAGCATGCCCAGGCGCTGTAGGGAGGTCATACAGGCATGTGGAGGCCACACACACTACTGAGCCTCATTTTGACTTGTTTTAAGGACATTATATCAAAGTTGGATCAGCCTGTAGTGTTTTTTTCCACTTTAATTTTGAGTGTAACTCCAAATCCAGACCTCCATGGATTGCTATATTTGATTTCCATTGATAATTTTTGAGAAATTTTGTTGTCAGCACATTCAACTATGTAATAAACAAAGTATTTAATAAGAATATTTCATTCATTCAGATCTAGGATGTTTTATTTTTGTGTTCCCTTTATTTTTTTGAGCAGTGTATATAGCAAAAGAGGACATTCACAACCACTGACACATATCCCTTGACTACCTACATAACTACACAGGTACAATTATTCTATTCGGCCAAAGGAAACATTATCAAAATTATTTTCTTCTTTAGGGGAAAAGCAAGAATGAAAAACACTTTTTGCCTTTCACCAAATTGAATGAGAACTGATAAAGTAGAAAATTGGTCCACATCACATTAGTTGATATAGTACTTCCATACCACTTTGCATTCTCCAAATCTAATCTGGAGTAGGAACCGGGAAGTTGCTGGCTTGAGTTGAAGACATTATATATCAGACAAACTAGGAGACCAATTTGAAAGCATTTCCTGTAGCAACGAGATTGGTTGATGCCTATGAATGAAGGAAGCAAATTATTCTAGAGAACAAATAACAAGGCTGCAGCAGTGATTTTGACTTGTACTCCTTGTCTCTGTATTTATTGGGTTTAAAAAAATCTTTTTATATTTATTATTGTAATTGTAAACTATCCAGAATTGATTTGCAGAGAGAGATGGGCAGCAAATAAATTTAATAAATAAAATGTACCAGCTACTTGGTGGATTCCATGGACTATTCAAATGGTGGCACTGATAAAGCCCTACTTAAAAGTTCTAATTCTATTCATGAGTCTTTCTAGGTTTTAAAAATCTGTGTCCCATCACCCTAAGAAGCATCTTTAATAGGAACACAAGGGCATTTTAGGTGATTATTTCCAAATTCTAAAACTTCCTTTTCAAAAGGCCAAGCTAGTTTTATTTTTATTTATTTTTTTGTGTTCTTTTATTACCTTTCATTCAGTTCGGAGGCGTGTATTTTTTCTCATACTAAGCACTCGTTAAGAGCAAGTTGGGAAATACAATTAATTATAATCTGATTTTCTATTTATAATTACAAAGATGTACTAGTTATATTTGATGTTATTATTATTAAGCTATTTTGTGCATGATTTGTAACTTTATTGTTTAAATAAAGAAAGTAATCACTTGAGTAATAATTTCATCATGGAACACAAACATCTCAAGCAAATAAACTCACTAATAAAATTCCATAATACATTTAATAAAGAATTACAGCAATACTTGGGAGTGAGCTCTACTCAACTTAATGTTACTTTCTTCTGGTTGTATAGCAGATTTTTAGATTCTTTTTCACACATTTAAAAAATAGCTAAAGGATCTGAAAAATACTTAGGGGCCCAAAAATGAACAGAGCAGGTACAAAAAGAGTCTATTTACACTGTGAAAGTTTGAAGGAGTTTAAGCACCTATTTCATCTCTTTAAAATCTTGAAACTCATTCTAAGAGACCTGCCTCTGAAATTTATTACTGCTTTTTAAATGCAAATGTGTGCACTTTACTTCACTTAATGACATTCCCGTGAACTTTCTTTCTGGCTGGTGCAAACTTTTTTTCTGTCACGCAAAGATTGAAAACACAGGTGACAACAAAGGTCTACTTTTTATTTTATTTTTTTCATTGGATTGTCACGCAATATCAAAATACCCTTGCTGGTCTGAGTAACTTCCTGTACATTTAAGAAAAGACTTTTTAAAAACCAGCTCCTTTAGCAATTACAGGCTGAAAGACAAACAAAGCACACCTTATTTAGGGTGGATCCATTTTTGTAGAGGGTCTCAAGGACACAACAGTGCATTCCATTTAAGCTCTATGGCCACAGAGCAACAAAGGTAAATCATGCATGTTTGCAACAAGAGATACACAAAATGCTTTGAATTTGAAATTATCCCATTGCAAGTGGGCCATTAGTGGGGTTTGAACCTGTTTTGTGAGCTGAATGCTTTGTTGGGGAAGAGAGAGAAAGGGAGAAATTTCTTAGGATTCTGAGTGTTTCATTTTTGGTTCCTGCAGTTTGCAATTCCCCAAATCTAATACTGAGAAGACATGGAACATTCGTATATGGAGGTTCTCAGTCATTCAGGTCATAGTTGTCTCAATGGTGCCTTTTCAAAAGGCAGCTGGATGTTTTTCCCCTCGAGGAATAAGAAGAAAACATTTCGCTTCTCATCCAAGAAGCTTCTGAACATTTAATTGTTCAGAACTGATGAAGCTTTTTGGATGAGAAGAGAAATGTTTTCTTCTTTCTCAAGAAAAAACAACAACATCCAGTTGCCTTCTCAAAAACCACCTTTGAGACAGGGAACCTTGAAACCAGAATGGGATAACTTTCTGTGGCCAACTCATCATGGCCATCTCACCACCACCAACTCACTGCCGGACAACTCACACCGCAGTAACACTGTGGGACAAATGAGCAATTCAATTTAATTATTTAAAATAAATTTTAAAATATTTAATTTTTGTCATTGGCATTTCACTTTCTCGCTCTTTTTGCATCCTTTCTTTAATGATTCTATCCCACCATTCCTTGATATTAGTGGTGGTCCCATGACAAGTTGTCCTGCAACAAGATGGCCGTGGCAAGCCGGTGATGGAGAGTTGGCGATGGCAAATTGTCATAGATCCCATTCGAATGACACATCAACTTGCAAACCAGCACTCCCTTTAGACAAATAGACTTATAGACCGCTTTACAGTGCTTTATAGCCCTCTCTAAGTAGTTTACAGAGTCAGCGTATTGCCCCCCAACAATCTGGGTCCTCATTTTACCCACCTCAGAAGGATGGAAAGCTGAGTCAACCTTGAGCCTGGTGAGATTCGAACTGCCCAATTGCAGGCAGTCAGCAGTAGTAGCCTGCAGTACTGCACTCTAACCACTGCACCACTACAAAATGTTTAAGAACATTTCAAGTGATTTTCAGGAATGGTGAACACCCTAAACAGGAGAGAACTTTCCTTTTGTGTCCCTGTTAAGGGAGGACCTCTAAGCAGACAGAGTTGCTACAGAAAACACATCTTGATGAGGGCTGTATGCTCAGTGGCACATGCAAGGATGACCTGGGGACCCGAACCCCTACTCATACACCGCAGTGGAGGAGGGAAAAAAACAGTTATTATCCTGTTGGCTTCTTTTCCTTAGAATCCCCCTTCTTTCCATCTGGTTTTTGTCACTTGAAGTGGCAAGTAACTAGAGGAGGAAAATTGTAGGAAAGAAATGGGGGTGGATAGGAGTTAAGTGCTCACCTCCCTGCTTCCAGAATGGGACAAAACTCACTACAGCCAACTTGCCAGTCATCTTACCACGGCCAATTCACTGTGAACATCTCACTGCAAACATCTCACTATGGCCATCTTGCCGGACAACTCACAGTGGGACAATTCACTGTGGCCAACTCGCCATGGGACTAACTTGCTGTGAGACAATTCCAGCTGGATAACTCAACGTGATCATAAGTGTTATTCACCACTGTTTCTTTGACATTATTTCCATTGACAAAAATGGCATTTATCGTGTTGAGTTATCTCTCATGGATTGTCCCGCGGTAAGTTATCCTGAAGCGAGTTGGGCATTGTTGAGTGTCCCTGGAGAGTTGGCCATGCCAGGTTGGCCACAATGAGATGGCCATTGCATATTAGTCACTGAGAGTTGTCCTAGTTCCCCCTGCTTATCCTCTTGACAGGGAAACAAAAGGAGCCAGTCTTTTCAAATCCTGTCTCTGCCAAACATTGACTACATAGTTTTGGTTTCAGCAAGTCAAACTCTCAACGCAGACACACACTCTTCGTCAAAAGGCACTCTTCTATTAGGATGGTCTTGCTCCAGTAGTAGCTTTACTCAAGATCAGAACTGTGAGCATCCCAATTAGCAATGTGGCCAACAATAAACAAAGGAAAAGGAAAACAAAACGCTGCACATCACCAATGAAAGCTAGCAGTAACTGGAACAGAACCTAACAAGGATAGCAGCACAATACAAATTCAACTGGCAAGAAGAAGAGATAAAGGGTATTACATCTACCATCATTGGGAAACAGCTTGTGCTTATTGTGTTTATTTCAATGCTTCTCCATCTGGGCAGCTTTAAAATGTGTGGACTTCAACTCCCAGAATTCTACAGTCAGCATCGTTGGCTGGGGAATACTGGAGTTAAAGTCTATACATCTTCAAATTTCCCCAGGTGGAGAAGTAATAGTCTGTTCTTAGACCATCCTTACTCCATCCTGGTGGCCTTGAATTGTAGGAACTCCAATTCTGAGAATTCCTGTTGGCTGAGAATTGGCTGAGAATTCCTGGACTAGGAATCTCAGCACACCTGGAAGAACCACCCTGGAGAAAACTGTTCTAAATAGAACTCCATCCAGCATCATCAGCTTCAACTGGTCTTCAATAAAAGAATAATGTTTTAAGGTATGAAATCTTTCTGGAAGGCCTTTGCTGATTAATGCACCATGAAGTCATACAAATCGAAACGTTTTGCTTTGCACTAAGGTGGTTGTGGGAAATGTTACTGCAACATGGGATATTATAACTAAGAGTATTGGATCAAAATGTAAAGAATCTATATTGACAGTTTTAAGATCCAGTTAAGATGTTCTAGAAAGAACATTTGACATGATGCTGTTGAATGTGTCTCCTTATTTTGGCACATGGTGGGGCATGATGAGAGTGAACAAATACCCTTAGGTACTAAAATGCTTTTAAGGATGCATACGGGAGTAGGCTACAATAGGCCTTCTCCTTGCGGTCACAGTCAGACAACTGTGTGGAATGCATGAAAATCATCTCCTCACTACCATTATCTGCATTTTGAATTGGTAAAGTCTTGTCACATCCTTTTTCCTAAAAAAATTAGGCGCCTATGAAGTCACGGGGAAATAAAAATTGGGCATAGTCTCAGCCTTGATCAGTCATTAAGTAGAGGTAGGTTCAAGGTTCAAGAAGCAGAGTTAGAATTTTCCCAAATCATGCCCTTCTCATGAGGGAGGGGGTGAACTTTATTAGTCCCTGTGAGTATCTTAGCAAAAAGAAAGCTCACTGCCTTGATTATCTTGCCAGAATCATCAAACTGCTGTCTCGTGAAGCTACAATAAGATTAGCTCAAGAAATATTTGGTCCAAGAAATGTGAGTAGGTGCCGAACACTGTTGTATGTAACTTCTTTGGCAAGATATGTCTTCATGCTCAGATGCCTTCAAGCTCAGACTCAAAAGGCACTAAGCCAAGACCGCAAAACTATCTTTAGTAGATGACCATATTCAGAAAAGGGAAAATTTAAAATTAACCAAAGCAATATGTTTCAAGGTGGTTTGCTTCCTCCAGACCAGTGATTCTCAAGCTGTGGTCCGCGGACTTCTGGGTGATCACAATGTCATAGGGAGAGTCCACAAAGGCTTGAAAAATATGTTAAGATTTAAACCTTGAATTAAGTCTTGGGGGTTTGTGGCCATGGTCAGTGGCCAAAAAATATATTTAAAAAGAGTCCGTGGTAAAGAAAAGGGTGTGAACCATTGTTCCAGACCATTATTTTATAATAACTTGATCTAGTTTTGTGGATCTTGGGAGAGTCTAGTAGAAATAAAAGGAAAAAGAAGGAAGATCAAAGTAGATCTTGTAAGTTAGGGTCAGCCCACACTTGATTTAGAGGCCTTCCCATATCTCAAGATGCTTCAGTGACATCTCTTTTTAATCTATTTTGATGCAGTAGATTATTGAAGCTTATTCAGATAATCAGAAAACTTTTCTAATGCATCTGATCGTTGTGGTGCCATGATTTCAAGACTGTGTGAAGGGAAGGGTAAGGTTTTAAAATCAATGTCTCCAAGAAAAGCTGAGACAATGGTAGGATTGTAGAAGCTACAAAGAAAGTTGTTTTCTAAAGGATTTCAAGCATGATGGATTGGGCCATAATCTGGTATCTGGCAAGTCTCTAAAACCTGCCTTGTTTAAAATGTTATAGATGGCTATGCCATCAACCAAGATAACCCTTATTCTGCATTCAACCAACTTACTTTACAGAACTTTCCATAGTTTGGCAATGATAGAAGTCATTTATTAATGACGGGGAAAAAATTCCTCTAGACATCAGAGAAATTGGACCCAGTTTGGGAATTATTATCTGTGAGATGTGTTTCTAGCTGGTGATCAGAAGCTGGGATTCTTCAAATTCTAATTCCTGTGAATTAGAACGATTGTCCTAAAGATGGAAAAAATCAAGAGATGGCGAAATATTTACTGCATATACTATATCTACCTGCCTTATGAAAAATAAATCTTTCATTTTATAAGGTTGCAGATGAGAAAGAGATATTGAAAAGTTTACTCTCAATCATTTGGCAAATAGTCATGTCACAATCTGGTTAAAAAGTGACTCAAGGCCAAGAGTACTTGGCTTGCCATGAAGAGCAGTTGAAGAACTTCTAAACACAGTTGTCCACTGTACCAAGGATATAAGGGACACCAAGGGTTGTGTTAGGAAAGTTTCTATTGTTGACATCTAGCACCTCCACCAGAAGACAGATTTCTATTCTAGACCAAAATCACAGAAGACAAAATGTGCTCACTAGGGCTACCTTCTCTGGCCTGCAAAAAATCTTCCTGACCACAACGTAGCAGCAAAGAGATACAGAAAGAAAGCTTGTTCCTGCTATTTTGTGATCAACGTTGATGTTTGCAGCCTGGAAATGATAGCCCTAAGTTTTGTTTCCTGGCATGTGGACCCAACTCCCCAGCTCAGGAATAAAGTGATAATACACAGACTACTCTACACAGAGCTACAGTAAAACTGTTCATCATTCAGGTGGTATTTCAAGCACTTTGTTGTGCTTGTAGAAGGCTGAAATGTTCTTGTCCCTCACATTCATGACACCACGATTGTCCAGTCGCTGTCTTCTCTTCCATACTGAAACACAAACAAAGAGGGTTAGGAGAAACGCCATGGGGAGCCCTAGAGTTTCAAGTTCAAGTCTTTCTTCAACCAAGACACTCACCAGGTACCTCTTCTGTGAAAACTATGGAGTAGGTCTCCATACTGGAAGATCATTTTAGAGTTTTTGAAAACCCTGCATTTGGTTGGCTGTTAAAAATGCTGAAGAAGAGGTTGAGAAGTGATGTACAGAAGAAGTACATTCCCAAAGCCCTAAAATTGCATTTAGTTGCCCAAAATGTTTATCCCATATTTCATGTAACTGAAGGGTGGAATGTTAAATACATCCCTGGGGAACAGAATGGGACAAGTCACCGCAGCCAACTCGCCATGTTCAACTCACCACAGGATAACTCGCTGTGGGGCAATTCAAGAATTCAGTTTTATTATTTAAAAATAGTTAAAAGAATTATTTTAATTTTTGACATTCACATCTCATTTTGTCCCTCCCTTGGCATCCTTTCTTTAATGATTCTATTCCAATATTTCTTCGATATTAGTGTAACACTTGGAGAGTTGGCTATGGCAAGTTGGCCATTACAGGTTAACTATATTTAATTTGAAATAAATTGTAAATGAAGCCAAAAAAAAGATTGTTGTTCTGACACTTCTACTGAGAGTGAGCCCAGAATATTGGTTAACGCCTATGGTTGCTCCTTGATTTGGAAAGAGCTGGTCTTGGGCAGGCTTAGATGTGTACATATGTACTGTGGGAACTGCGTCGAATAGAATAGAAGTTGGAAGGGACTTTGGAGGTCTTCTAGTCGAACCCCCTCCTTAGGTAGGAAACCCTAGATCACTTCAAACAAATGGCTACCTAATCTCTTCTTAAAAACTTTCACTGTTGGAGGATTTACAACTTCTGGAGGCAAGTTGTTCCACTGATTAATTGTTCTAACAGTCAAGAAATTTCTCCTTAGTTGTAAGTTGCTTCTCTCCTTGATTAATTTCCACCCATTGCTTCTTGTCCTTCCCTCAGGTGCTTTGGAAAATAGCTTGACTCCCTCTTCTTTGTGGCAGCCCCTGAGATATTGGAACACTGCTATCATGTCACCCCTAGTCCTTCTTTTCATCCAAGTTCAGTTCACAGTGCTGATTGTCACCTTCAAAGCCCTACATGGCTTGGGACCAGGTTATCTAAAGGAACATCTTTTCCCGGTCATATCTACCTGACCCACCAGAGGCAGAGAATACTACAAGTTCCCTCTCTTAAGGAAGTTCATCTAGTAGGACCAAGAAGGACCTTCTCCATGGTGGCTCATCCCTGTGGGTATAAGATTGCCCCCTACTTGGACACTCTTTCACAAGACCTGAAGACCTGGTTTTGCTAACAAGCCTGGGGAAACCAGAGTGGTATGGAGCCCATCAAATGGCTCATTTGATTATTGTTGAATCAAAGTATAGAGACTGTGGAATTACGTCTGCCTACTGCGTTTCTGTCAGGATATGAAGAAATAATCGAGCCATTCAACCATTTGTCTATTTCTCATAGAAAACATATGAGAGCCTTACTTGGATATCACTTAGCTGGTTCCAGAAACGGGTTGCTATTTGAGGTCCATTCTCCATAGTTGGAATACGCAAATTCTACAAGAAAAGAAAAACTACGTTAAAATAGAACGGTGTTCAGGAAATCAATTTCAGATGGAATTACAAAAGGCTTAGGAACAGAAAAACAAACCAATAAATGAAAACCCAGCAATGAAAAATTTTCTTTCCCCGCCACCATTTGAGATATAACTTTTTTCTTTTTCTGTTCAATCTTAATTCAGAGCAAAACAAATTCTGTAGAAGCGAAGCTGACAAAAGATCATTATTCAACTGTCACACAAATATTAAATTCATTCCCAAGAACTAAACTGCCAAAGACATTTTATTTGTCTGGTACAAATTATATTATGGCATCTGCAAGGAATATAAGGAGAGAAATTATATCAGCTATGACAATACGGAATCTTCCCTCCTGAGATTGCCTGTAATTTCAGCAAGATATTCATATCAGCAGTAAGGGGAACAGACTTAGTTACAGTTGTTGGAACAATTGAAGAACCAGGTTAGAACGAGAGATTGTCTTGGGGAAAAAAAATCTAAGAGTCAGCAATAATTTGATGGTGTATATAATCAGCTAAATATCAAGCTCTGAGTCCCGGTGGCACATTGGCTAGAATGCAGTATTGCAGTCAAACTCTGCCCACAGCCTGGAGTTCAATCCTGATGGGGCTCGAAGTTAACTCAGCCTTCCATCCTTCCCAGGTTGGTAAAATGAGGTCCCAGATTGTTGGGGACAATATGCTGACACTGGAAACCACACAGAGAGTGCTGCAGTATGGAACCATATATAAGTGTAAGTGCTATTGCTATTATTCATTGCTACAATTGAAACAATTGATCCATTTGACTCAGGGGCTACTGAGATTCTGCCTTGCATTCTGCATATTGTAACTTTTACAGAAATTTTAGAACCTCTCTACTCAAGTTCCAATTTGTCCCCTCAAAATGGGATGCTTTTCTACTTTAATCTTTCTGTCAAAAAAGAACACTTTTCTCTAATTCAGGATTCTAATAGGAGATTCTTTAAGAAGAATTACATCTGTATAAAATTCAGTCTTGTATTGATGCAAAATGTAATCCATCTTTCTCCTGACAAACTGTACCAAATAATCCCTTGAAATACTTCTTATTCTTGCAAATCTTTTGTTTATTCCATAAACTTTATCGATTTCTGCTTCTATATCTCCTATCCTCTTACCTCTCCCAGGTATAGTATTGTTGAAACAGGACATACAACACAAGCTGTTCCAGCCCCAAACATTTCCTTCACTCTCTTTTCCTTCAAGGCAGTTGTGAGATCGCTCATAGTAATGTATCGCTCTGATACTTTAAATTCACCCTGAAAAAAGATAAGCAAGCGGTTCTAGAAATCATGTTTGCCATTCTTGTATTGTTTAAAATGTAAGGAGTTTATATTTATAAAACGTAAACCTTCTTTAGGTCAGCTCTTGGAGACTTCAAGGAGACACCCATGTAATTTTCAGTATAGCAGTTTTCAATACAACAGTGCAGCTTTTCAATTTAGCAGTGATTTCTCACTGCCTCCTTCCGAGATATTTCTTCAGCTTCCCAATTTAGCCCAAGCATCTCTTGATGGTCACCATCTGAGTATTAACCAGGTTCAGCCCTGCCTTGCAGTTTTTTTAAAAAAATATACAGATACTGCCACCTAGCTGAGGTAAAAGTAAAGTCGATTTCAAGTTGAACGTAACTTCTACTAACTACATAGACCAGGAGTGTCAAACTGGCAGCCCACGGGCTAGAGTCATCACAAGTAGGCCACGCCCATTCCCAGCTCTGTGAATGGGAAAATTGTCACAAAACATCCCATGACAGCAACGTGATGCATCAAGTTTGACACCCATGACATAGATTAATCAGTACTGCTTCTTGGACAAATTATCAACTGGTTTCTGCCTGTTAAGGCACACAAATAGGAAAAGCAAGCATAAGATTTGGACCTCGTGTCTATTTATCTATGCATCTATCTATGGATCTATGCATCTGTGTGTCCAGCCACCCTAGCTTTTTCAGTACTTATAACAGTGGCTTAAAGAGCTATGTCTCTTTAAGCTTGAATAAAATACAACAACATAGAATCATCTTTAGTAACTAGGCCCAATCCAACAGGCAGGGCAGAGCATGGTTATATCAATATAGTTGCTATTAGATCACCCAGTAAGGTGTACTTTAGACTGGACTATGATTTCATCATATTACAGCACATGGTTAACTTGCTAGAATTAATTACCAGAAAAATCAAATGGTGGCCTGTAACTTGAATTGTTTCGAAAGGAGATGGGACAAATTCAGACTCACGGGTTCATCAAGAGGAATTAGTTTTGAAGATTCGATATTATCTCCAAGGGAAAGGCCACATGCCTTCAAATATCAGTTGCAAGGGAATCATGTCTGAAGAGGGACAAGTATAGTTGAGGCATCTAGTTGGCCTTTTATTATGAGCACCAATTATGAGAACCAATGCCATCTAAGATGGGCCTTTTCTGATCCAGAACTCTGTCTATTCCTCTCTTTGTGTCTATGGAGATTCTCAATCATCCGGGTCATGGTTGTTTGAAAGGTGCTTTTTCAAAAGGCAACTGGACTTTCTTTGTTTTTCCTGGAAGACGTTTCGCTTCTCATCCAAGACGTTTCTTAAGTTCTCAGTTCAGAAGAAGCTTCAGTTCAGAAGAAGCTTCTTGGACGAGAAGTGAAACATCTTCAGAGAAAAACAAAGAAGGTCCAGTTGCCTTTTGGAAAAGCACTTTGGGGATTCCTGTCTTTGCCCATCACTGACTCAATTATTAATATATGAGTCTATATCCTGCTGATAACAAAAGCAAGAGGTTGCAAGTTAGTCTGTGAGCTGAATGGAAATTCCACTGCAAGCTGATTTGGGATTTGGAAGAAATGTTGTAGCCTAAGAGTCTACCAGAAAAATAGATAGCACATAGAAGTTCAGAACTATCCGAGCAGATGGCTACCTACCCACTTGCGTGCCAGATCTAAGATGCTCTGCCTCGTCACACCAGGAAGAATTATGCCATCTAGAGGTGGAGTTGCCAGCTCATCTTCTGTCAATAAAAAAGCAGGACACTTGAGCATGAAAGTGCAGCATTATACAATAGTATAAAAATAATAGTTATAGCAGCTATAAGAAGAGGGTTTTGAAAAAATACTCTAAGAAGTTGTTCTGCAGTAGTTCTGTTTTGATATTTACTTATTTATTTATTTATTTATTTATTCCTTCTTATTTCTTGGAAGGCAGGTAAATTTGAAAAAAATAACCACTAATCTTTTAGAAGACATACTTTATTTATTTATTTGATTTGTCAATTGTTTACAAGATAATGAAATGGGTACATATAAGAAAAATAAAAGAAACAATAGGACAGGGACAGTAGGTACGTTGGTGCGCTTATGCACACCCCCTACAGACCTCTTAGGAAAGGGGTGAGGTCAACAGTAGACAGTCTAAGGTTAAAGTTTTGGGGGGTTGGGGAAGAAACTACAGAGTCAGGGAGAGTATTCCAGATATTGACCATTCTGTTGCTGAAGTCGTATTTCCTGCAATCAAGTTTGGTGCGGTTAACTTTGAGTTTTTTATCTATTGTGTGCTCTTGTGTTGCTATGGTTGAAGCTGAAGTATTCATTGACAGGTAGGACATTGCAATGTATGTTTTTATATACCATACTTAGATCAGACTGAAGACGGCGTAATTCAAGGTTTTCTAGTTCTAGAATTTCAAGTCTGGTGGCATAAGGTATTCTACAATGAGTAGAGGAGTGGAGAACTCTTCTTGTGAAATATTTCTGGACTTTCTCAACTGTGCTAATATCAGATACGTAATGTGGGTTCCAGACTGATGAGCTGTATTCGAGTATTGGTCTAGCAAATGTTTTGTATGCACTAGTTAGTAGTGTGATATTACCAGAGAAAAAGCTACGTAGGATTAGGTTAACAACTCTTAATGCCTTTTTGGCTATGTACTTACAGTAGGCTCTAGCACTTAGATCATTAGAGATGAGTATTCCAAGGTCCTTTACAGAGCTTGGATCATCAACAATACTATTTTTGCATACAATGCTAGACTGGGTCAAAATGGGTTTGGATAGTTTGTGGTTCACTATGTTTTAAGAATCCAGCCGTCATATTAACATGACACGTGAAGGTCTTTATATTGCATCATCTGAAGAGTGTCCAGATTGAGGAAAGCATGCAACTCTGCTACATCAACCAAACGCTTTTCACACGATCTCCAGGACTCTCAAATTTTATACAGGGGACTTTCATTATTCACCATTTCTAGATGTAAGATTTCTAAATTTCTCTGATTTAAATTTCATCCTCTTCATTTTAGCTCACGTTCAACTCTTCTCAATTTTTTTTTAATCTTCTCTTTCCCTTCTAAAGTATTAGCCAGTCCTAGTTTTACATGCTCTGCAAATGTCGTAATCCCACCTTTTCCCAAATTATTAGGAAAAAAAGATGAACAGCCCGGGATCCAGGTCAAAGTTCCCTTGATACAACTCTCCAATCATAGAATCATTTAGGAGTATTCTCTGAATGTAATTATACAGGCAGCTATGATTTTATATTTCATAATTATATGACATTCATTAAATAGACAATGTATTTAATTATTTCCCCTACCTCTAATTAATTTATTAGCAATAGCGAGGGCCTTTGGAACCATGCCCAAGAACTTTTTGAGGAGCACTTGGATCTGAGCTTCCAGGTTCCTCATCTCTAACATCTTTGCAAGGTGGAACCATGTGTAGGACGATGGAGAGCTTTAAAAAAAGCCATTTTTTTCCAATATAGTAGATAAGGTTAAGGGACAGGAAGCTTCAGGTAGCAGTTCAATCAAGTCAGACCCCATACCTCCATCTTCATTTCGCCAATACAGGAAAAGATTCATCGTCCCGACTTCTGTAATTTGATGGTCATCCCCATAAAGCCAGAGGACCTGTTGGCACCCCAATTCCATGGCTTCACGTTGGGCATAAATCGAAGAGCCGTAATTCCTTTGGGGCACAGAGCAAAAAGGCCATTTATATACTTGACAATATACCTACAAGTGATTTGCTTTCTAATATGTAACAGATATTCCCCAACACAGTACCTCCACAGACACAGGCAGGCTGCAACTCTAAGAGCAGCTGGCTTTTGAGTTAAGGCCAAGAGTGGGATTCTACAGGTTCACACCTATTTGCTGGAACCAGTTGTTAACATTCTAAGCAGTTCGGAGAACCGGTTGTTAGAAGAAATTACTGGCCTAATCCTGTAAGGAAGGCAGGAAGGAAACATTCTGGTGTTGCTTACAGAAACTGCCTCTCCGTTAACCCTTATTACATTCTTGGCAGGACTAGACTTCCTGTCTCAAGAACTTCTCTGGAGTTTTTTTCCGCTCCTTTGCTGGTACTTTGCTTGTGTGGAGTGGCCATTCAAAGTTACAATGGCACTGAAAAAAGTGACATAACTATTTTTCACACTTACGACTATTACAGCGTCCCCACAGTCATGAGAAGCTAGGCGAGGCGATGCATGCCTCGATTTGAGTGATGTTGAGTTGGCCACGCCCAGCCAGTCACATTACCAAACCACGCCCACCAACTAAGCCACGCCCCACAGAATCGGTTGTTTAAAAAAAAATGAATCCCACCCCTGGTTAAGGGACTCTCTAAACTTAGGTTGTCCTCCCAATGTGAATGGGATACTGCAGAGAGAGAGACACTGCAGGGGTGCCATTGTGTCTGTGTGGAGATTCTCAGTCATCCAGGTCATAGTTGTGTCCAAGGTGCTTTCTTCAAAAGGCAACTGGACTGTTTTTTTTTTTTCTTTGAGGACAAAGAAGAAAACATTTCGTTTCTCATCCAAGAAGCTTCGTTGGATCTGGCAGGATGGTGGCGGCCATGGAAGGATTAGTTCTGACAGGATGGGGAAGGGTTTATTTATTTATTTATTTTACTTGTCAAACACTTACAATATAATAGAAATAAGTATAAATACATGAAATAGATACTAATAATTGGGGATAATAGGACAGGGATGGTAGGCACGATTGTGCGCTTATGCACGCCCTTTACAGACCTCTTAGGAATGGGGTGAGGTCAATAGGGGTTAGTTTGAGGGTAAAGGAGTGGGGGTTTGAGCAGGTGACAACAGAATCAGGTAGTGAGTTCCAGACATTGACCACTCTGTTGCTGAGATCGTACTTCCTGCAATCGAGTTTGGAGTAGTTTACATTAAGTTTATATCCGTTGTGTGCTCGTGTTGGGTTGGAAGGATGGGGAAGAGTTTATTTATTTATTCATTTGTTTATTTATTTTATTTGTCAAACGGTTACAATACAATAGAAATAAGAATAAAGAAAAGTATAAATACACGAAAAAGGTACTAATAATTGGGGACAATAGGACAGGGACCGTCCTCTGGTCGTTGCAGTCATCTGGTTTTTAGCACTCTCCCTGAGAGGTCTTTGAGGCCACTTGAGGGTTTATCTGTGCCCTCAGGGTTACCTGTACCAGAATGAAAATGGGGGTAGAATCTTCTTAAGAATTGCTGAAAGGACTACATAGTAGACAGGAGATAGGTGGTCTCTTATCCAGGGGTGGGATAACAACCAGTTCAGTGATCGCACGCTTTGCATGCATGTATTGGCAATGCCAGAAACCTTACCTGCTATGTTACTTCAGGGGAGTAACAGCTGAGGAGCAGCAATCCGTTCTTCCACACTGATCAGCTGGGACGATAAAGGTCAGTACAGCACACACGGGCCCACATGATTGTCGGAGTGAACCGGTTCACTCCGAACTGATCTTCGGAGCTAGGGGTTCACCCGGACCAGTTTGAACCAGCAGAATCCCTCCCTGCTCTTATCCCTCCCCCTTTGTTGAGTGAGGGCTGCTCAGTTTTAACATACTGTAAATGGCCTCTTTTACCCATCTTCAAACCAATGTTCCTCTCTATCCAGCATGTGGACATTGCAGATGATTGCAAAAAAGAAATATGATTCTTCCCAGCCTCACTCCGCCACGCCACGCCACACTGTCGAAACTACCATCCTGCTAGAAACGACAATGCTTTTTGGAAGAGAAGCAAAACAGCAAGATCTCAAACTGAATTCTTCCTATGGCTCCACACCCTCTCTTGCCTTGGCCTATCAGTCTGAGGAGCATATCTCCAGCACTTCCTGTCAAGGCCCCCTTAGTTAAAAACAAAAAAAAAAGCTTATGTATTTCCAAATGCTTTCTCAATGCATTTTCCCATGCTGGCTCAGGAATTTGGGGAGCTGAAGTTTACAGCTTGTAAAGTTGCTACAATTGCCCACCCCTGTCTTAATGAGTATGACTGCAACAAGATTCACTTACCCTCCCAATTTGCAGTCCCCCGTCCCACCTTTCCAAGCTCGGACATATTTTGGATCTGCCCACAAGGAGACGGGATTGAAGGTCCCACTTGTGAAGTAGGGCCCCACAGGGCTCAGTATCACATAGAGAATGGCCCTTGATGGCTTCTTGACTCCGAGAGAAGGCTACACAGAAAAAGGGAAGACAAATTCATTGAACTTATGGGTTCTTATCCGGTTCTTATATTAATCAATAAAACTGAAATGGCATAAAATATAGAGAAGAAATGTCCCAACGTTTCTTATCATCAACAGAACCAATAGGTTAAGGAAGCAAAAAAAAAGCCATCCTTTGTTGCGTGTATCAGAACAGAGGCTAAACACTGAATTGTTGGGTATGCTTCAGGTACCTTCAATAACCAGAGTTCGATTTGGTGGCTGAAATACTTCCTTCCAACTTCACGGGTCTATAAATCTGTGATTTGACCACCACAGGCATTGAGTTATGAGATGGATCTGTCAAATGGCAGTACCAGAAGTTATAGGTAGACCTGGCTTAAGGATTGCCTTGTTTAGTGACTGATTAGAGATACGACAGAACCGAAAAAGTGACCAGTCTTCACATTTGTAACTACTGTATCACATCAGCCCACACAATCATGTGATTGTTATTTGTGCGCTTCACAGCTGGCTTCCAACAAGCAAAAGTCAATAGAGAAGCCAGCAGTCAAATTGCAAGTTGTGGTCATGTGATGTCTCGCTTAATGGCCATGAGTGGAGGGAGAAGTGAGCTCATAAGTCAACTGCAGTCACATGTCTTATTGAACAACTATAGGTAATTGGTTTAACGACTGCAGTGGGAGTGAGGTTGTAAGTCTATCGCAATCATGTGATGTCTTAACAATCACATTGCTTAGTGATGAAGTTGAGCATTCCAATTGTTGTTAACTAAGGACTGCTTTGTATAACAGTTGCTTTAGAACCCCACACACAGACTTGTTACTTCAAGCCTATGTTCAAATAACATGCTACAACCTACAGAAATGTCTTCTTATGATTTGATAAACTAGTTCAGTTCACACAACCTGCTCAATCAAGGGCTGAGTTATTCACAGACTGTTGAATAATATGCGATTCAATGTGCCATGTCAGAACCCAGACATTAAATGTGGGTTGGGAACAGGGAACAGTTGAAAGAGTTGTATATTTTAAGGTGCAATGAAATGGTTGTTTTACATGGAAGGACATCTAGCAAGGACATTGTAACTTACTGCACCTCTGTATGGTTTGCCAATTGCACAGGGGCAGATAGGATAGCACTCCAGGGGGTTAACGTCATTGCCCAGAAGATCATGGGCTGCCCTCTCCCCTCTTTGGAAGAGCTTTATAGCTCCTGCTGCCTTAAGAAAGTTCAAAACATTCTCAAAGATCCATCTCATCCCGGACACCCTTTTTTTGAACTATTACCACCTGGTGGATAGTACAGAATAATAAAAACAAGCACAAATAGGCTGAAAAGCAGCTTTTATCCCAGGGCAGTAGCTCTTTTGAATTCTACTGTATAGTGCTGTGTTGGTGCAGTGTTGGGGGTTTTCGGTTCAATGTGTGGAATGTGAAGCATGTGTGTTGTGTTTATTTTCATGGTCATGATGTGCACTGAAGATGGTGTTTGATTTCGTTGTATGGGGTGCAATGACAATAAAATAAAGTAAACTACAAAGGTTTGGCCCTCGCCACTCCTTTGTCCTAATCCACTGACTGCCTCATGGTAGATACAGCCTGTTATGTTTAGGAGAAAAAAGGAATAATGTGTAATGAACTGGTATAAGATTGCCACTAGGTGGAACTATTGTCACCCATAAGAGTACAATAGTAAATTCTTGGTTTCTTTACTCTTGAAAAGATTGCCCAGGACAAGCCAGGCGGTCCTTATTTCTTTTTATTTTCCTCTCCTTATCCCTAAGAAAGCACCAGATAAATTCCTACGGAACGTGATGTCCTAAACCCAAAGAAGTCATCACTCACTGCCACAAGGACCTAAAAGTTCTACTCCAAGCAGAAAAGGGGGGGAAAAAATGTGATTCAGCTTAAATAGACTTTGCGCAGGCAGTCCTCAACTTACAACCCCAATTGGGAGCAGAATTTCCATCGCTAACCAAGGCAGTTGTGAAAAGTGAGCCGCACCCAATTTTATGACCTTTCTTGGACCCATTGTTAAGCGAAACCCTGCATTTGTTAAGTGAATCACATGGATGTTAAGTGAATGTGGCTTCCTCACTGACAATGCTTGTCGGAAACCACCTGTAGAGTTTGCAAATGGCAATGGCATGACCCTTCGTTACCCTGCAACTGTTATACACACATGCTGGTGGCCAAGCACCTGAATTTTAATTGTGTCAGCATCCTGCAATGGACACAAGGATTGCTCACTATTTTTCAGTGCAGTTGCAACTTTGGTCACTAAATGAATAGCAATAGCACTTAGATTTACATACCGTTTCACACTGCTTTACAGCCCCCTCTAAGCAGTTTACAGAGTCAGCCTATTACCCCCAACCATCTGGGTCCTCATTTTACTCACCTCAGTAGGATGGAAGGCTGAATTAACCTTGAGCCTGGTGAGATTTGAACTTCCAAATTGCAGGCAACCGGTAGTCAGCAGAAGTAGCCTGCAGTACTGCACTCTAACCACTGCACCACCATTGCTCATATGGTTGAATGGTTGTCAATTGAGGACTACCTGTCTTCATTGGCTCCCAGAAAGCAATGACACAATGGCCAAGTTCACAGACGATGCCAGGGAAGACCAGAGTGGGGATCAAGAACAGATAAAACGTGCATGATGCTGCCCTTAAATCCTTGCATCAGATACTGGGACATGAGCACATAAAAATTAAGATGTGACATCACAAAGGTGGCTAGATTTTGTGCAGCAGTGCTGGGGATTCACTGGAAACAGGCGATTAAGCCATCATAGCTATTTTACACAATTAATGCCACAAACCCTTTTGCATCAGTCACTCTCTGGCATGTTAGTATTTAATGACCACAGGCCTCACCGTTTAAGGATCGATATTATGTTATTGTTAGGCCCATGCTGTGTTTTGTTCATTTTGTGCAACCGACAATTTGGGGTGTCAAATTGTGGTTTTAATGTAGATTTAATGGCGATTTATTATTTTATGCTAGATTTTTTTTTTAACCGGATGTTCCTTGAGTGTTTTTAACTTGCTCTGGTCTTCGACTGTAATAATAAGCATTGACTTGACTCGACATCGCTATTTTTGTGTGGTTGTGGTTGCCATTGAGGTTGTTGAGAAGGAATGAAAGAAAGAAGGAACCCCCACAAAAAAGTATTTTCTCCCTACCTCTGTCCCAATTAAAGTAGGGCGGATATACAAGCTAGCAGAGGTTGAATAGGGTACCCACTCCTTCTCAACTTCCACCAGTTTCTGGATACACTGCAGGAGTTCTTCTTTGTCAAATCCCTGCAAGTGGAAACAGAAGAAGGCAACAATTAGAAATAATCTTGAGGCAGAAACACCCGAACAAAAACCTTGGTTTAGGTTGTGTAGAAAGTTAGCACCCACCCCTCGCCTAGAAGAATGAAACATTCTAGGGTTATTCTAGGGTTAATAGCCCTAGAAAGACTGGCCATCCTATCTACAAGACAAAAGGCCTTCAGCTCCAGGGTGATAGGATTAGCCCTCACTCAAGATCCAAACCAGGGCAAAGCCATTAAGTCATACTAGGAATTACCCAACACCCTTTCAGAACAAAGCCTCTTCATTATATCATCACCCAGCAAGATTCAACCAAGACTGAGACCCAAACAGCTTACAAGGTTAGGTGGACCCCCATCCCCTGGGAGTCTGACAACCAATAGGATACATTTCTTTCACAGGAACAGGAAGCTACAGTTCAAAGCCCAAGAGAAAGTATAAATGTCCCTCTCTCTCCACTCCATGTGGTTTGCTACCCAGAATAGCAATAGCACTTAAATTTATAGTGTAAAACACTTTATAGTGCTTTACAGCCCACTCTAAGTGGTTTACGGAGTCAGCAGATTGCCCTCAACAATTTGAGTCCTCATTTTATCCACCTCGGAAGGATGGAAGGCTGAGTCAACCTCGAGCCTGGTGGGATTTGAACTGCCAAATTGTAGGCAGCTGGCAGTCAGCAGAAGTAGCCTGCAGTACTTCACTCTAACCACTGCACCACAGAGAATCACATGTGCTTGGTTCTGATTCACCATTAAACCATCCTTCCAAGCAGCCTCCGTGTTTCCAGTGTCTTCCTTCCCACTTTGAACTGAACCCAAAGGGATATTTCTTCCAACAGTTGGTTGTTCAAAGGCAGGGATGTTCCAGGATGTCTACCAATCTGTTATATTAGTGTGCAGCAAGCTATAGCACCATAGCACTTAGACTTATATACCTCTTCCAAGTGCTTTACAACCTCCTCTAAGCAGATTACAGACTCAGCCTATTGCTTCCAACAATCTGGGCCCTCATTTTACTGACCTCAGAAGAATGGAAAGCTGAGTCAACCTTGCGCTGGTCAGGATCAAACTGCTGGCAGTCGGCAGAGTGAGCCTGCAATATTGCATTCAAACCACCGAGCCACCACAGCTAAAGAACCTTATGGTGTAACCACCCAGAAATGAATTGATTTAAGTGGCTTTATCACAGATATGAACCAGGTTTCAAAAGGATAATCAGAGAAGGGTGTTGTTAGGAAGTATTTTTCCTTCTGGCAGTGGCAGGAAAACAGGGGTGATAGCAGACATTACTTGAAGATAACTTCAATTATGTTCTCATGGATGAAACGTGAACTCAAGAATGAAGGGACCGAGAAGGATGTGTACATGTTCCCTCTTTCCTTCCATTATCATCTTTCCAGCAGTCTGTTGTCTTCAGAGCTTCCTGCATTTCAAGTTAATTCCTAAGGGTGAATGCCGCTCAAGACTTCCTTGCTGCTCTCTGAGCTTGCTTGTTTTCTTGAAGATGCTCCATTATCCAAAGTAAGTAACATCATCAGTGCTGTTGATGTTCCCTAGTTTGGGTAATGAAATGTCTGCAAGAAAACAAGTACGCTTGTTAGGAATATGAGTCACCTAACAGCTATTTGGGTTAGAAATATATAAACCAGGATAAACATTTTAAAACTGCATCTTTAAGAAAATGCAAAACTGTAATTAGGTGTGGTTTTTCAAAGGGCTATAAAATGGAGCCAGAAACCTGGATTGTTTTAGTCTGAGTCTCAGAAGAGAGTGTGAGTGTATCTCTGTTTCCTTCTGTTGGAAAGTATTGCCGTTGCTCCATTTCTTCTAACTGACTGATATTACTGGATTTAATGTAAGTCTGTTACTGAACTGTTTTTTGACACTGGACTTTGATATTTGGATTATCCCTGGATTGAAAACTGACTGATTTAACTTGTGAATGACTTTGGATTGCTTATTTTGGACTTTGCTTAAACCTTTCTGGAAATAAAAACCTACATTTACTGTACAGTGTATCTGTGTGCTGTGTGTGTATTATTCAAACACTTCTCTCAAATATGTCTCCCCGTATGCGCTCATTCTCCTAACGGGGAATTACCTCAACAACGCTCAGAGAGCACCAAGGACCCTTCATTTCAACCTTGAGCTACAAATATTCTCCTGTAATGGTACTCAAGATCTTCTCCAACTGTGGTCCCCCTTTTTCTAAAAAAATAAATAAATAAACTTCTTGGAGGTAAGTGTGGGTAGCAGGCATCGAAGCAATGGAAAGAGGTGGAATGAAAAATAGCAACATTGGTAGTGGCACTTTCCACAATCAAATCAGCACCAAAAAATAAACATTACCAAGAGAAATTGCAACTGCAACCATCTTGAGAATAAGGTAGAAAACGCCTGATTACACGGGAACGTGACCAACATCTTATTCTAACCTATTCTAGTCAAAGAAGAAAAACAGATGTTTTGCCTTACGCACTGGCAAAGTTGCTCGCGCAGCTGACCGTAACATCCTGTCCATGTTGAGTCTTGGTCGGAACAAGCGTATTTTGCCATCCACGCCTCGATATGCCTTCATGCCTTCAAACAGCTAAAGGAAGCAGAAGAGAACAGTTGGGACACACTCAGCCCAACGCATGCACCCGTAATTAAAATAAGCAAACTGTTAAAATAAATGCTTGTTCTTTCAAAACATCACAGAAATAACTGTATCTGTTTAAAACAAGAGCCCATTGTTTCATTCGCTTCAAATGACAGATGGAAAACTTCTACATGACTCCAGATGTGCTAAATAGGAAGAGATCGTTTGGACGGCAAGGGAATGTTTATTTATTTGACCCATCTCAGCAAATGCCTCTGGGTGGTTCATGAAATTGAATGGAATATAAACTCAAATGTCCACCAGTTATTAAAGCAGCTGCATCTATTCTAGACACTGGAACCTCGCAGCACTTATGTAAGCTTGGAAATAGATGCAGCTGCTTTAATGAGTTGTAGATAGATGCCATTTGCTTCTTGCATGTTGACATGCATTGCTATATAAGTATTAATTTAGAGGATCACTCAACATCTCAGCACATGGAGGTTTCCTATCCTAAACTTCCTAAATTTAATTTCCTATTAGGATAGTGACTGATTACTTACACGGCTGTTTAACTGTTCAAATGTTGCATTTAACTACAGTATTAATGGGAAATTTAGAATGAATGTGAAGCAGATTGGTCGAGAACTTTTCTACCTAATCTGCCCCAATCCAGACTTTAGACAAACGTTATTGACCAAGAATTGCTCCTGAGTCTAACTCAAAGCCACTGGATTGAATGGCTTTTCTGACTTTTCCTACACAGTTCTCTGGAATTCTATAGCTGCTGGTTCTACAAGGCTCATAGTTGATGGAAGATACAACAGATCTATTCCTAGCTACTAGTGAAATCTGCTTCAAAGTTTGATCAGCAACAGAACATAAAACTGTTCTTCTCTGTGACAGCCCCTCCAGTACTGGAAAACTGTTATGATGTCACTTCTAGTCCTTTTCTTTGATAGGCTAGACATACCTAAATCCCTCAACCATTCCTCATGTGATTTACCTACAGACCATTAATCATCTTCGTTGCTCTTCTCTGCACACTTTCTAGGGTCTCAGCCTCCTTTTTGTATCCTGATGACCAGAATTATAAAAATATTCCGAGTGTGGTCTCACTGGTGCTCTATAAAGTGGTGTTGTCACCTCATGATATCAGAAAACTTTTGTGATATCAGAAAATTTCAGAGATATTTTCAATTGGATTCCAGCAATGAGCTGAAAGGTGGACTTGGTAATCTCAATTGTCCCTTCCAATTCTATAATTCTAGCTATGATAGAAGATAACTTTATTTTTCATGCTCTTTATGGATAACTTTTTAACTAGGTCTAGATAATCCCCCCAAAAAATGCTTTTGAAGTCTGCTTTTCTACCCTTACTTTGGGAAAACTTGTACTATTTTGAAAATATTTTTATATTGAAAGGACAATAGTTTTTTTAAAACAAAACTGAGAATATGAATAACCTATTATTTTAAAAAGTATTGTTATGGTCTCTCAGAGATAAGGTAAAGGTAAAGGTTCTAGTCATTTCTGACTCTAGGGGGCAGTGCTCATCTCTGTTTCTAAGCCAAAGAGCCAGCGCTGTCCGAAGACGTCTCCATGGTCATGTGGCCGGCATGACTAAATGCTGAAGGCGCACTGAACGCTGTTCCATTCCCACCAAAGTGGTCCTATTTTTCTACTTGCATTTTTACAAGTTTTTGAACTGCTAGGTTGGCAGCAGCTGGGGCAAGTAATGGGAGCTCACTCCGTTACGCGGCACTAGGGATTCGAACTACCGAATTGTCCACCTTTCTGATCGACAAGCTCAGCATCTTAGCCACTGAGCCACTGCGTCCCCTTAGTGATAGCCAATCACTATCACTCAGAGATAGTGATAAGCTAAATAAAGGCCTATGAACAGTTTCTGGTTTAGAGTCTCCCTAAACTTTCCAAAAAGACTGAGCTTTCATAATTTGGGGGGTATGGACAGCCAATACATCCCCAGAAAGGGCCCCAGATACATTCCAGGATGTCTTGTCTTTAATTTCAACTAACCCTCTTCATTCCTTGAATAGGATGTCCCCTTACCTGTTACCATTTCATTCCCCCTTCTCTGAAAATACATTCCACTGAATGCTATGAGTACGATTTATGAATCACACATACAATTATCGCTACTTATTTTATTGTCTCTTTGTTAAACTCCTATCTCTCCTTTCATTTAGACATTCAGGATGGCATGCACAATATTTTCTTCCTCCTATTTTCTTTCTAATGGTGGATCAAAATCTGGATCACTCCCATATTTAGCCCACCATCTTAGTCATTTTACTACATTGGCTCTCTGTATTTCAACAGTTCAGGTAATGTCAACTCAACAGCAGTCTCGAGTTATTTAACTTGGTCTAGAGACTGACTTTAAGAGGTTTGTGGACAACTGCTGCTTCAGCTGTCTACCACAGGGTCTCTATTTCTGAGCAGACTCATCCATTTTAGGAATCTTACAGTACTGTCAAGTCTTATTTAACGGTGTAACCAACAGATCCCCAGAAACAAATACTAGAAGAAGAATCTGATCTCTGTTATTTGTCACTACAATGCCCAGCTAACCAGTCTTTCTCAATCTCTGGCCATCCTCCAGCTGTGCAGATTTCGTGGGATCCTTGCTGCTTTCTGAGCTTGGTTGTTTTCTTGCAGATGGAGAGAGAATTATTTGTAGCTCAGGACTGAACTGTGGTGTCCTTGATCCAAGCTTGGTTGTTTTCTTAGAGATGTTTCATTATCCAACTCAGTGACATCATGAGTGCCATGATGCAGATTCATTAGGTCATGGAACATCTGCAAGAAGACAACCAAGCTCAGAGAGCACCAAGGAGCCCACATTTCAACTCGGAGCGATGAATATTCTCTTCCAGGGGTGGACTTCAACTGCCCAGAATCGGATAGGCCATCAAGAAAAATCTAGTTTCCGCATATCTGGAGGGTGCCCAAGCAGGAGGAAGATTCCACTAGACCATCCACAAAGCCGGCAGAGGCCAGGTTATCCGAGGAGTCACAGATCACAAAGAAGGAACATTTCATTCTCACGTTATACCCACTGTGTATTCATTGAGCCATAGCATTTGGAGCAGTTTCGCTTCCGTCACTCCTCTTGGCTAGAGGAAAACGTGATGCAATAAAGGTTAAAAGTAAACAAAACAATGAAAAACAATGGGGGACAAATGCAGATGAGGAAACAAAAAAAAAGAAAGAAGAGCAGATTCATTGTTAGCAGCGAGGATTTGAGATCACGAGTTTAACAGTAGTAATGCTACTCAGAGAGAGAGAGAGAGAAACTCCAGCGTGGTTTCTTTCCTCTTTGTGAATACATCTAGATCAGGGGTGTCAAACTCGATTTCATTGAGGGCCACATCGGGGTTGTCTTTGACCTCAGGCGGTTGGGGGGTTGCGGCCAGCTCAACGTCACTCATGTCGGGGGCGCATATGAAGGCCCAAGAGCTCTACCAGCAAAAATGGAGCTCAGGAGGGATGCGCAAGGTCCTCCTGAGCTCCATTTTGTCTAGGACAAGCATCGCGGGCCACTCCTTCACTGTTTCCAGAGCTGCCCTGCAAGCCAGATCTAAGCAACCTGTGGGCCAGATCTGGCCTGTGGGCCTTGAGTTTGACACCCCTGGTTTAGATTTCCTCAGCCAGAAAAACTGAATATATATATATATATATCATCGCACCAGCGAGATAAATTCAGGTAGTCCTCTACTTACGACCACAATTGAGCCCCAAATTTATAGTATGTTGCTAAGCGAGACTGTTGCTAAATGAATTTTGCCCTATTTTCTTGCCACAGTTGTTTAAGGGAATCACTGCACCTCTTAAGTTGGCAATGCAGCTGTTAAATCAATCTGACTTTCCCACTGACTTTGCTTGTTGGGAGGTTGCAAAAGTCTTAGTATGCTGCCACTGTCGTAAATACGAGTCAATTGCCAAGCATCCAGATTTTGATCGCGTGACCATGGGGACACTGCAACAGTTGTAAGGGTGAAAAGCAGTTGTGAGTCACTTTTTTCAGTAATGTTGTAACTTTGAACAGTTACTAAGTGACTTGTCGTAAGTCGAGAACTCCCTATACCTTAAAATCAATCAATCAATCAATCAATCAATCAATCAAAACAGAAAGGAATGAAAAATATCCCAGTGGAGCCTTCCCAAAAAAAGAGAAAAGGGGGGGAAAGGGTTGAGGTCTAGATTCCTCACCAACATTTTTGCAAAACACTAGAAGGGCACAAATCAAAGTATGATTTCCTTTCATTTCGTTTCATTATTGAGATTCAGTTTTTTTGATTGTTAGGAACACTGCAAAAGAGGGAGAGGAAAAAGAAAGGGGTTTGAAAGAATTGCTCCACGTTTTCTCCTCACTTTCTGGCACCCAAAACGTGCCCTTGATTAAGGCTCTGACACAAATGGAATATAACTTGCATTGATGTTTTGGACTACGATCTGGAACCTTGGGCCCTAGATGCTTTGCTCAGTAACCACGCTGGTTTCTGGAGGTTACCAATTCATTTCAGTACAGGTGAGTAACTTGCTTTCTGTCACATGCACAGTCTATTTGACCCAAAACTCATTCAAAATTTGCCTTGTTTTTCCAACTCCCACAGCACTGAATGATAACTTGTATGCATCATGACCCCCACATGATAGATAGCACTTCCACTACATTGCAAACACAATGCTTTCTGCTGGAAATGCACCATTCATCATTGAACACTCCTGTTTTGCAAACAATGGGTGTATGAGTGTAAATTGGCCTTAAAACACAGAGTGGAGCTGTCTTTGCATGACACACTAAACCAAAAACCAAAAAGACTCATGAAGGCATAGCAGGTCTTAAATGAAAAGCCTATAAAATCTGAACACAAAGAATCACCTTTTTGTAAAGAAACCAGAATGTAAAATCAAGGTTTATCGCAAATTATCAGTTTAAGTTTCCACAAACTTAAAATAGCAGCCATTCCTGATTTAGGTGGTGTGGTTAGTATGAAACATCCGATGCACAATCATGAATAATGGACAACAATCATAAGTGCAAGGACTGGACATAAGTCACTTTTTCCAGTGCCATCATAACTTTGAACAGTCACTAAATGACGGTCAGAGATTGAGCACTTCCTGTGGGATAAAGTATGGTTCTCAGAATTTACTGCTTTTTTGATTAGCTGTTGCTTTTTAATTTGCTGTCTTCACTGAAATTGCAGTTGTGAAGAACTGCATTTGGGGAAGTGATAAATTCAAAAAATTGTCTCTGTCTTTATTCCCCCATGTTGTACTGTCAGCCATGAAATAAACATACTGTATTGGCAGCTATAATAATAAACTACACCATCCCTAAATAGCTGATGTGAATGAAGAAACAGCATCACAAATATGTCTTTGGCCATTTGACAAACTAGAGAATAAACCTTGACTATTTCTTGGTTAGTTTCACACATGGTACTAAACCATAATGAGGATTGGTTTGGCGGTTTATATGTCTTGCAAAGTTAGCCACTGTAGTTTATACATTGTGATAGTTGCTTAACTCAGTATTTCTTCATTAAAAAAAAGTATGTCTAAAGTTTAGTGTGACACTTAAATCATCAACAACACTTACTTACCCTGTTTTCCCCAAAATAAGACCCAACTGGAAAATAAGCCCTAGCATGATTTTTCTGGATGCTCATAATATAAGCCCTATCCACCAAAATACACCCCAGTTAAGATTGTCAAACCAGATGGATGCATTTAGTGCCATATTTTCCCCAAAATAAGTCCAAACTGGAAAATAAGCCCTAATGTGTCTTTTAGGGCAAAAATTAATATAAGGCCCAGTATTATTTTGGGGGAAACATAGGTACTAGCATTTTAGAAGAAGCTAAAATGCGATGCATATGTTTTCTGATGACTGATGTATCTCCAACAAATGCCATTTTTAAAGAAAAAAATGGTAAATGACACTACATTGGCATTTTCTTACTACCTGTAAGTAGAAGCCAACAAGGGACATTGAAAGTTGGAAAACATCAGGTATTTCTGTCATCTACCTATTCCTGGAGAAGATGAAGATCAGCAAAACTATCTTCAAAATCTGAGCCTTACCCATTCACTGTTCATTCCTCACCCTCTTTATCAATCATTCTTTCCTAATCTGATGTTCTCCAGATCTGTTCAACTCCCATCATTCTTAGCCAGCCGTGATGGATGGGAATTAAACTCCAACACAGCTGGAGAAGGCTGGGAAAGACTATTTCTTGGAGACTTTGCACTGACCTGAAACAAAAAGAAGCACATTTTTATATATATAAAAGACCCGATTATTATTATTATTATTTTAAGTTAATGACAAAGATAGAACGAGCTTTGTCTTCATTCTATCGCTGTACTCACTTCTACGGCATAATGCAGGGCTGAGATGGCTGGATGCACAGAGAGGTTCTCCAAGGGCTTAATCTGAGGGACGTCCCATCCAGATGTAAAGGACCATTCAACGAAGAGCATGTTGTCTGTGAAAACTGTTCCAAATACTAAGCCATTTGGGTCTGGTTTCTCTTTCAATGTGGTAGACGGGTTGATAACAAGGTCATCAGCCTGGGGCGAGAAAAGGGAACAAAACATGATAAAATTACATTTTAAAAATTGACAGCCCTCATCTCAGAATAATAGAAATTGTGGCGGTAACTCAAGGAATACCTGTATCCTCATTCAGTTCGATGAAGGAAACATTAATTAGAACTTTCTGCTCAGTTTTTCTGCCGAGGTTGATAGTTTTAGAAGACGATTGAAACCCACTCTGCTAACATCTGGAATAGTCTCTTGAGCGAAGTGCATTTTTACCAGATTGCATCCTAATTTCGTGAGAAAGACTTCACTTCCCACAGTTCTTTTTCCCAAATCTTGACTCTACTTGGCTGCTGTCTATCTCCTGCACAAAAATATCTGCCAAAATTGATTGGAAAAGAATGCAGGGTCTTTGCATTTTGACCCACAATCCCAAATTCTTTTTTTGTAGAAGTGCCACTTTCTAGAACTGACTCTCAGAGATTGGATTTCAGGGGGATTTGCTAAATTTGCTAATTGCTTCTAGGGATGCATTTCATGTGCTACACTGAAATATTGCATAACTTGCTGTAATATAACGAAAAAGAAGGGCTTACTATGAAAGTAGCATCTGCACCCACACACACATATCTGCGTTCACACACACACACACAAATCGAGAAACATCTACTTCTATTCCATATTTCAAATTTTAGATCCATCTATATGTGCTCACCTCCCAAGGCAATTAAATCTCGGACAACCGAAGTGAAGCCATATCAAACCACAAATAAATACCGGTAACCCTCGACTTATGATGGGTTGCTTAGTGAATATTTAAAGTTATGATGGACCGCCCCAGGGCTACGAAGTTCCAATAGAGGCCCCTACATTTGGAGTGCTTGGCAACCAACCTGCATTTGTGGCTATTTGCATTCTCTTTGGGACTCCGTAGAGCCAGTAAATATGTTTTCAGAAACAATTTTGCCAGTTGGTGAGCTGAAGGGAGACCATGGCACGCTATAAAATGAGCCTGCTTGGAGAAAATATCAATCAATGTCCAAATGACAGTGTTTCCCCTACTTTCTGGGACTTCCACTATAAAATTCATTGCTATCTCCTCCCAAGGTCGAGATGGCTCAGCTACTTGTTGTAACAGTCCAGGAGTCTTCCCTGATCTTTTTTTTTTTTTCATTGCGGCACACACCCCACAGCTTTTTACATAGCTTTCAATGTCCTTCTTCATTTTGGCCAACAAAATGGTGTCTTCACCAGGTGCCATGTTTTTAAGAATCCAAAATGGCCGGTTTGCTTGGCCTCGTGACTTCTCTGCAGGGCCTGGACCCGGAGGGTGCTGGAGGTGTAGAGTTTGGGGCCTTTCCATGCAAACTGTCCCTGGAGGTCAGGAGCTGTTTGTTGTCTCTAAACCAGGGGTCAGCCTGCAACTTGGTCCTGAGCTTCTAGACCAGTTTGGTCCCGGGTTTGGTTGGCCATTTTTGAGCTTGCTGCCACATAGTGACTTGCTCTGTCTTTTGAGGGAGTGGAATGATTCCTTGTTAGTATAGTCACGTGGGGTATTCTGCGGACAGAATTTTGAGATCACGTGGGGTATTCTGTGGGCAGAATTCCTGTCACATGGGTTATTCTGTGGACAGAATTCCTGTCACATGGGTTATTCTGCGGACAGAATTCTGAGGTCATGTGACCCCAATTTACATTCTTTTTTTTGTCAGAAATGTGTTTCCTTCTGGTTTCCGGCAAAAAAAATCCCACTCTTTGAAGACAACGGATTCACTTCATAAGCGCCACACTCACTCCATGAACACAGTATTTCATTTAATAACCTGTGCCAAAGGTCATAAAACTGGGTGTGGTCATGTGACAACCCACTTAATGACTGGGCTCAATTATGGTCATAAGTTGAGGATTACCTGTATCAGTGCATAAAGAGCAAGAACAGATAAAAATAATAGGATTAAGACTTTTAAAGAGGCCTCGATATAACAAAAATTGCTCCATCAGTTCTCTTCTGGACAAAAGTTTGTCTCCTGAAATAAAAGAATCTCCACCTAAAAAAGAAAGAAGTCTAAAAAGATAGATGTAAAGCTGAGAAGAATATTGTCTTCTGCTTTTGACAGATGTCTAAGTTTATCAACTGCAGCTGCAGAAGTATGTCTGTTCCCAAAACGTCAGCGATTAAAAAGCAGACTTGCAAAGAATAAAATTTAACATAGGAAAGTCAATCCTAAATCCATGTTCAGAAAAAGAAGGAAGTTCTTTTTAAGAAAAATGATATGGTCATCATATCATTCTGCTGAACACTCTGCTGAAAAATTAAAAGGCAATTCAAGGTTAACATTTCCTACGTCAGCCAAGATTTCCTCAGGGAAGTGTCTGCAGTACATTTTTAATCCCTCGATTTCCAGTTCCAGCAGCTATAGCAGATTTTCTGCTCTCTTTTCGCTGATTTCAAGACAACCCTAAACTCAGTCAAACCTGGTTAGTACAGACTGAGGATGATCAGGAAACCAAGGGCTACAGTTAGGTGCTGAAGCCAAGGTAGCCATGATTAGCAAGCTACTTCTGTCACATTGCCAAGAAAATTACATATATATTTATCATATATATCATCACAAAATCTCCAGAACAGTAAAGCCTACAAACTTGAAATTTGGCACATATGTTTCTCTTGGCTTCTAGGTGCTCACTAAGAAAGGATTTTTTGAAATGACCATCAGATCATTAGTATTTCGTATATGATTATTAACACTCCCCCTCCCCATCTGAAAAGAAATCTGTTCCAAATGCAAAACACAAGCAGAGGAGTTTCACTTTCAGTTTTAGTTTCACAGCACCAAGCAGCTTTAGTACAGAACAGTTGAGCTAAGCCACGCCCAGGCTCCTTGCTGTCTCCTTGCTCACACAGAAAATACTGTTTCAATTTCCAAACAGCCCTCAACTCTCTCACACACTGACAGGACGCTAGCCCGATGAATACCAATGGATGCTGGTAGGCAGAGGCAGAATTTTTTTCTCCTCTTATTTTCCTCCCCCAAAACTTGCCTGATCACATAGTTTCATAGTGAAGCACGAGTATCGGGCTAGTTAATCATATTTGTATACCATTGTAACATGTTAGGAGTCCTGATGGTTAAGAAGGAATTCACAGGCTCGATTTGTATAGCTCTCACTTTTTCTTTCCTTGAGGTAGAATTTTGACATTTCTTTCTTTGAAACCTCGCAGTAGTCTGATACAGATTAACAGATTTGGAAGGGACCTTGTAGGTCATCTAGTCCAACCTCCCATACACTCCATCCTGAATAAGGGCAGGAAAATTAAATGTTAATGTTATGTTTACATCTCATGCAAAAATAGGAAGGACGGATAAGAAAATACTGATTCATTTCCTTCTCAGAGGTCCTAATTGAGGAAATGTGAAAGCTGACTTGCCCATTTTTTAAACCTGTTCCAACATTTTGGGGCCCAGCCAAACTGAAGAGGAAAATGTTCCTGATTCTTTTGTTAAGTGAATTTTGCCCCATTTTACTGCCTTTCTTGCCACAGTTGTGAAGTGGATCGCTGGAGTTCTTCAGTTAGGAACACGGTTGTTAAGTGAATCTGGCTTTTCTTGTCAGAAGGCCGCAAAAAATGATCACAGGAGACTGCAATCATCATAAATACAGGCCAGTTGCCAAGCACCTGAATTCTGAGGATTCTGCAACGGTTGTAAGTGTGAAAAATGGTCATAACCCACTTTTTTTCAGTGCTGTTGTAGCTTTGAACGGTCACTAAATGAACTTTGTAAATTGAGGACTACCTGTAATCCAAAGATGCACATTCAAAAGGGAAGAGAGAAATTGCTCCCATTGTCCCTGAATGTTCCCAGCAGAAGCATCCTTCACAATCTGCCTCATGAGACACAAGACAATTGTGCTTTATAAGACTCCAGAGAACATTGCAGTGAACAAGGACATACATTCAATTTCACAGCTACTCAGATTGTTGGCTGAGCAGGTACAAAGATAGCCAGAGAAATGATTGAAGCCTGGGAAACGGGCCCCTTGTCAGTCAACAGCAGAGGTGGATATTGAGCAGGTTCTGATCAGTTCTGCAGAATCGGTAACGGAAATATCGAGTAGTTCAGAGAACCGGCAAATATCACCTCTGACTGGCCCCACCCCCATCTATTCTCTGCCTCCCATCGAGTCCCAGCTGATCGGCTGGGTCTTCTTTTGTTGCCCTGCCCAGGAGAACGGAGCTGGAAAACAGGTTAGTGGGGTGGGGAGGGAATGGAGATTTTGCAGTATCCTTCCCCACCAAGCCACACCCACCAAGCCAAGCCAAGCCCACCGAATTGGTAAGTAAACAGTTTTGAATCCCACCACTGGTCAACAGAAATGTTGATTTACCACCAGCTTATCAGGTACTTAAGAGTCGAGGATTTAGCAGCACAAGGAAACAACAGACAATGACTTATAACCGGCTATCAACACCTCCATCAACAAATAATTTAAAAAAACACATACAACCATAAATGCTACGCATAGAATAGCCCAAAGCACACAGTTCTCCAAGGATGAGATCCAATATGAGTCCCAAAGCTCAGAAGACTAAAACTCTGGTCCTGGTGATCAACCCAGATTGGATCCTGCTTAACCTCAGTGTACCCCTCCAGGTTTTGCTTGTCCATCGCCCTCTTTATCCTTCAAGGAGAGTTTACCACACAGAACTGAACACCCCTGCAGGCGTTTCTGTTTTAGCAAACAAGCCCTACCTTGAAAGAGTTGGTCATGGGTTTTGCAGCTGCCTCTGTGCATCCATCCGCATAGTCATTTTGGCAACCCTGCAGTGGACAAAGGACAACGCTTTTAAAAAAAATCAATCAAATTGAATCAATGCTCTGAAGTCACATTCAATGTGCTCTTCCCGCAGTTTGCACCTGTTCAGGGAAGGTTTGGGGGCATTTGGAGAGAAATGGGGCGGTGGATTAGAAGAAAGCTTGAAAACAGTAATCTGAGATCTAGAGCTCATAATGTTACAAGAAAATCAGGTACCATCAGCATTTGGGACTCCCGAGATAATAAATCCTTCTTTGCCCAGTTTTGGGATTCTCAGTAGAAAAACGAAGGTACAATTATTTCTGAATTAAAAATTTAACCATTAGTTAAGAATTGCTTGCAAGTCCACTATTCCATGTTGGTCCAAACCCACTGTGAGGACCATATCCAGTGGTGGGATTCAGCCGGTTTGCACCAGTTGGGTTGTTAAATTGCCCCCGCCCCACTATCGAAGGGAATCCTGGGCACTGCGCTGCAATGGAGAAATGAGCAACGGAGCTGTTGGTGTGAGGGAAGGAGAAGACCGCTTTTCCCCTCCTTCCTGATCCTCCTCCTTTGACTCAGCCTACCATCCTCCCGTGATGGGTAAAATGAGGACCCAGATGGTTGGGGGCAATATGCTAACTCTGTAAACCGCTTAGAGAGGACTATAAAGCACTGCGAAGCAGTATATAAGTCTCAGCGCTATTGCTAAGGATATCCACCTTACAGTGATGATTCTGTAAAATGTCTGCTTGTCTTCCAATCAAGTATTGATGCATCAATGATATTATTGGATCATGTTCTGTTAAAACAAGCCAGTTTCTTTCTTTCTTTTTCTTTTCTTTTCTTTTAACTTTGATTAGGTTATAAAATAAGATACAAAATATAAAAGAAAATAGGAAAACGGTAAGGGGAAAGGAGGGGAAGAGAAGTGAGGAAGAGCTGGGGAACAGAAAAGAAAGCATTGACTTCCGACTCCCTCTGTTGCAGTATAATAAAGCATTAACATCAAACCACAAGCTTTTTGCTTTTTCATAGTAATATAAACTAGCCCTTTCTATAAACACATAGCAGTTTAATCGGTAAAACCCCAAATTCTCATTCTGGGTCTCAGGCTTGTTTCAACTCCTTCACCAAACTTTTGGAAAGTTGATCCTGCCCAGCCAGCATCACACTCAGACGTAAAGGGCTTGTTTAGCAACTTTTGAAGTTACAATGCACTGAAAAAAGTGACTTATGACTGTATTTCTTCCCGGGGTCCTGTGATCAAAATTCAGGCGCTTGGCAATTGGTTCCTATTTATGACAGTTCCAATGGCTCGGGAGTCACGCGTTCACTTTTTATGACTTCCTGACAAGCAATGTCAATAGGAAGGCTCCAGATTCAATGAACAACTGTGTTACTATCTTAACAACTGCAGCAATTCACTTAAACTGTAGCAAGAAAGGTTACAGAGTGGGGCAAAAAATACTTAACAAATATCTCACATAGCAACAGAGATTTTGGACTTGGTTATGGTTGCAATTCGAGGACTACTTGTACAGTCTTTGCAGATTGCCTCCTCACAATGTACAGTAGCTCCTTTAGTTGCACTTCATGTGTTATATAAATTTGGCCATTCTTACTTATTCACTAGACTGTGGATAAAACAGACTGCGGCTTAGCACAACTACAGAATTTCCTTGATTGCTATAGCAGTATCTCAGCTGCAAAAAAGAAGCTTCGAGGAATTAAAAAGAACAATCACACCACCTGGGTTGCACATCTATCTTCTAATAATAATAACAATTACAATAATAATCCACCACAGATTCTCAAGCAGATATGTTTGCTGAATATATGAGTCATGCAAGGCTATTTTTAACTCTGGCTGAACAAGCTTGTAACTCTGCGTGACCTCCTGGGAGGGGAATCTGAAGACTTGGCTAAGGAAGATTTTATTTTTATTTATTTATTTATTTTTATTTTTATTTGGTTTGTCAATAGCTTACAAAATAATAGGTATAAGTAAAAACATAGTCGTGAATACAGGGATACATATAAGAAAAATAAAAGAAACAATAGGACAGGGATGGTAGGCACGTTGGTGCGCTTATGCACGGCCCCTACAGTCCTCTTAGGAAAGGGGTGAGGTCAATAGGAGACAGTCTAAGGTTAAAGTTTTTGGGGTTTGGGGAAGAAACCACAGAGTCAGGTAGAGTATTCCAGACATTGACCACTCTGTTGCTGAAGTTGATGCATCCAGACTTCTTTTCAAAGCAAAACCCAGATATTTTATTTCCTTTAGCCCTGGCGTGAAGTCTGCGGAGGAGACAGACAAAATAATAATACAAGGGGACCCCAAAAGAGTGTGCCACAATAAACACAACGGCACTGGATAGATTAAAAGCTCCTGCCAGCTGAGACAGGAGAGGCTAAATTGGAGTCCTTGATGCTCTGTGCATTTGGTTGTTTGCAGACTTTTCATGACCAGACTAGGTAATATCATCAGTGTTAGTGAATATGGGATTTGTCCCTCTTTATAGTTAAAGGACACGGTGGCTCAGTGGCTAAGATGCTGACCTTGTCGATCAGAAAGGTCGGCAGTTTGTAAAATTTTCTGAATAACCATAAGTTCAGTGGGGATAGAGGGTAGTTTCCAGCACTGGGCAAATGCCAGTCTGGCCACGGTTAACAATGCGCCGAAATGGACAAACTAACCCAAGCATTAAAAAATAAAGAATCTTCAACCTATTATAGCAATTGGAATCCTTTGTACATTTGGCTTAATCAAAGATAGATCACCTCTAAGAAAACTAAGGCCGAGGCCTCCGAGGCAGAGATAAAGAAAAGCACTGCCGACGATAGTTTGGAAGAAGAAAAGACCTTACAGACAGTCACAAAAATATGGTTTTATTATAAGTGTTTTCTCTACTTTTGTTTTCCCCACTTCCCCCCCCCCCTTCCCTTCCCTTTCCCTCTTTCCTCTCTCAAGCTTTCCTCTCTTTCCCTCTTGGCCTATGCCAAGACCTGTTCGTCGTTTTGTTGTATATAATTTGTAGCTGTGTTGTTGTTGTTTTTTAAAAAGTAAAACTAATAAAGTTTATTTTTAAAAAAAAAAAAAGAAAAGAAAGGTCGGCAGTTTGAATCCCTAGCACCGCGTAACGGAGTGAGCTCCCGTTACTTGTCCCAGCTTCTGCCAACCTAGCAGTTCGAAAAGCATGTAAAAATGCAAGAAGAAAAATAGGGACCCTTTTGGTGGGAAAGTAACAGCATTCTGTGTGCCTTTGAAGTTTAGTCATGCCGGCCACATGACCATGGAGACGTCTGTGGACAGTGCTGGCTCCTTGGCTTTGAAACGGAGATGAGCACCGCCCCCTAGAGCCAGAAACTACTAGCACGTATGTTCGAGGGGAACCTTTACTTTTTACCTTTTATACATAGTACTTTGACCTGTCAGTGTTGGTGGGCATGTGATTTTCTCCTTGGTAGGTCCTTGATTAGGGTATTATTTATATATAAAAGCCCACCCTGGCCAACACTTTCAGGGCAAGCTACACAGGGAACAAACCCCACATCACCAGCACTGATAATATATTAATGGTATAATGAAACATCTGCAAGCAAACAATCGAGTTCAGAGAACACTGAGGACTCTGTAATTCAATCCTGAATACTGTGATGGAACATAATTTGGAATTCCAGGAAGGAGGGGCTGCCTCCCAGAAGGAAAAGAGGCAGCAGAGCTTGGAATGTCTGGCGGGCAGGAAAAGAGCAAAGACAGCACCTCCCTAGCAGTTCTCAGAGTATATTCTATAGTTATGCAGGTAGTTGCTTTAGTCTGGCAAGATTCTGTCTGTAGGCAAACAACTGTAGGAGATGCCCAGACTGAGCCCGAAGGAGGCTTGAGGAAAGCCTCCGTAGCCTGGGGAGGGCAAAACACCCCTTCCCACCATGCTGTAGGACACTGATTAGGCCACGCCCACCATGGCCACACCCACCCAGCAACCAGGCAGAAAACCCTTTGCTAAAATTTTTGAAGCCCACCCCTGAACGTACCCATGGGCTACCTACTACCTGCATTGCTTCATCATCCCTTCCTTCCTCTTCTACCCCATTTTGTTCATAATGGCAGGAATGGATTATAGAATTAGGCAAATCCTAAATCTTTCAAAGCATCTGAATGATTAGCCAGAATCGTAAAGTATATCCAGCCGGAGCGTAACCGAAGAAGAAGGATAAAAGAGATTGTTGTTTGCAGATGGAGGGTTTCTAGATTAATTGGGTCAGGACTATTTCTTATTGTAGCAATACATCCAGGGTCTTCAAACTCAACAGCTTTTAAGACTTGTGGACTTCAACTCCCAGAATTCCTCCTCTAGTCATGTTAGCTTAGGAATTCTGGGAGCTGAAGTCCACAAGCCTTAAACTTGCCAAGTTTGAAGACCCTTGCAATGCATGTTCTCCCCTGTAATTTAGGATTGAAAGAGTAAGTATACAAGATCACGTTCCTGGTGGATGAAGCAGGAACTTCAGTGTTCCATATTGCAACTAGATCAAATTCCCAATATAGCCATAAGCCTCACTAGGTAACTTTAGGCTAAGTATTGCTCTCATCGGGGATTTTGTAAGGCTAAAAAGAATCTGGACTATATTTGTCATTGCTCCAGGGAGGAGCAACGGGATTCCAGACAATCAGTGGACAAGCTCTGTGTTCCCTGACCATTCATGTATACTCCTTGAATTACAGAACTACAGAAGAATAGAATTGGGAACGACCGTGGAGGTCTAATCTAATCCAACCCTTTGCTTAAGCAGGAGACCTAATCTCTCCTTAAAAGCCTCCTTATATGTCCTTCTTAATACTCTCTGGATAATTTTGTATTTATTTGGCTCTTTGGTACATTCCCTTCTTTGTAAATTCTCCACAAACAACACAATCTTTAAAAAAAAAAAATTAAAACTTTGATCCACTTCACATGCAGACTGGCCTGGAAAAGGAAAGTGAGAGAGATTAGCTGTGTTCACGTAACATACTGAAGCA